TATGGGCACCCCTCAGTCCGGTCCCTCGCCTCAGCGGGGAGGGCACCTCCGTGGGACACCCCTGGCTGCCCCCAGCCCTGCTCTGGCGTGTTCCCCCCTGCACCATGGGGCTTGTCTCCCCCACACCGTGGGGTTTGTCCCCTCCCCGGGTGAGGCTGACCTGGCTGAAGCAGTGCCCAGCTTCTGCCCCCCACCCCGGGGCAGCTCCTGGTCCCTTACACCCCTGGCCGGTGTGGAGCGATGTGGGGGTGCTGTGCTCAGTGGAGCCCGGGGTGTCTCAGATCAAGTCCAGTCGTCATTTCGTTGTGGTCTTGTCCAGAAACGCAGCCCTGCTCGCTCTCCTCCGCTTGTCAGCGTGCACTGGAAACTCCTTGAAAAAGAGACTTGTTTGTCGCTTGTCTGTCTGTGCCCCTGCATAGCAGACGCTGTCTCGTGGCTCTTACTAATGTTGAAATGCTTTCAGTCTCGATCGTGCTGCGGGTGCAGCTCTCTTTGTGCCTTTTTACTCTGATGGCCATGGCTCGTGCTGAGCTCAGGTGCTGGGGAGCTGCTGGTAACGCTTTAACTGCAGCTGTAGAGATAATTGGGGCTTGGAGAACGGGGGAGTCTGTCCCTGGCTGGTCACTCTCTGTTTTGACCCCTCTCAGAAACGCTTTCGTACACGGACGACACGGCCATGAGCAGGTCGGTGGTGCAGTCCCTGCTTGCCAAGCGAGAGTTCGATGAGGTCGATATGGCCAAGAGGTAAGGAGGGCAGGCGGCTTCGGGGGCTGGGATGGTGCCATTTACTCATGAAGGCAAAACCTTCTCGAGATTTAACTCAGCGCTAAACTTCCCAAACTGCAACTGAAAACTCCAGTAATTTTCTGTGGAAGGGGCTAAGGCAAAGTCATTGTGAATTTGCAGAGGGAAGAAAAGAGAAGTGAGGGCTGATCCTGTAATCTATTGTGTGCTTTGCACTGTCCAGGAACACGCAGCGGCGTTGGCTTTAGAGTGAGGCAGGACGGGACGTGCTGTGTCACAGCCATGTACGAGTATTCACCTTGGTGGAGGACAGCGCTTAGACATTTCCGAAGCGCTTCCTTTCGTGTTTATTTGCTGCTATTTATGTTCGTACCTCCCTTAATTCGGTTTGTGAATATCGGTGAGGTCAGCTTCCGTTTGTTGTGATCCGTTTCCCTTTCGAATCCGCAGCCCTGGCAGCATTTGGTTCCACTTAAGGGAGGACATTTATTTGTTTAGCAAACTCCTCCATTGAACTCGAACAAAAGACTTTCTCTGTGGTTGTGACCCACAGAAATGTTTCCAGTTTGCTTCTATTTCAAGGCAAAGTCGAGAGGGAAACAAGTGGGCTGTGAGAGATGATTTTATACACCCTTTCCTCCGTTCACACCAAGTTTTGTGATTCTTCCCCTGCAGAACTGACTCACTTGAACCCTGGCCATGGCCAAGTGACCCATGTGTTATTGATTGACTTTACCGTGTGGCTTCACACAGCCTCTTCACGAACTGCGCCAGCACCCAAATACCCCCTGTGCTTTTTCTCACCTGCTGCTCTCGCCCTGTCCAGGTTTGCGGAGGAGTACAAGAAGGAGCCCAACAGGGGCTATGGGATGGCTGTCGTCAACGTCTTCAAGAAGCTGCTGAGCCCCAAGTGCAGCGACGTGTTCGAGCCAGCCAGAGCCCAGTTCAACGGGAAGGGCTCCTACGGCAACGGCGGAGCCATGCGGGTGGCAGGCGTCCCCCTGGTGTACTCTGACGTCCAGGATGTTAAGAAGGTGCTGTTCCTGGCCCTGCTGGGCACCCAGAGCTTTGGGAGGCCCCTGTTGTCAGTGGGTCTCATGGTGACCTCTCATGGCTTTGCTAACGCTGTTTTCATTTGCAGTTTGCGAAGCTGAGCGCCGAGCTGACCCACGCCAACTCCCTGGGCTACAACGGGGCCGTTCTGCAGGCCCTGGCCGTGCACCTGGCCCTGCAGGGAGAGCTCAGCAAGGAAACCTTCCTGGAGCAGCTCATCAGCCACATGGAGGATGTGGAGGCAGACGACAAGTCTCTCACTGACGCCCGAGCGTAAGTACCCGTGAGCAGCACTGGCTCTGCTGTGCGCAGTTTATTCTGCCTCTTCCCGACCTCTCCTCTTCACTGGACTCTCATTTCCAGGCTGGGATTTGAGGATTTGCCATTTTCAAGGCGCCTAAAGAAAATAAAGGAATTTTTGGAGCTCAGCAGCGTTCCCAAAGCAGATGTGTTGTTTGAGTTGGGTAAGGACCTTTCTTGCTACAAGTATGAGGAAAGAGCTGGCAGCAAAGTAACTGAGCGAGCCGGGCTGATGTGTCCTCCCCAGATTGTCCCCTTGTCCTGCACTGCCTGTCAGGCACAGAATGTGCTGGAGAGGCTCCCCGTGCTCACCAGAGACGATTCTGCGTCCTGACCCAGCGACTCCCTCTCTGTATTGGTGGGAAAAAAAGTCTTGCCAATTAAAACTAACATTTCTTAATAGTCTAAGATACCTTAATGGCTGTCAGACCTTCAGGTTGGATGGGAAGGGGTAGATTTGTGCTGCAAAATGATACTGGTGTAGCTGGGAGTTGTTCTCCAGGATGTGAGCAGTGCTGGGGAGCTATGGGGAGACTTCTGAGGGGCAGACTTTTGCACCTGGTTGTGATAAAATGGGTGGCACTGGTTTTGGAAACAACTGGCAGAGGGAAGCGGCGTTAGAAGGGAAAAGGTGCTGCTGCAGGAGGTTCTGCAGCACTGAAGGGGGTCCCTTTCATCAACAGGCAACGGCATCGCCGCTTTGCGGTCTGTCCCTACGGCGATTTACTCCTTCTTGCGCTGTATGGAAGCTGACCCCGACATCCCCGCTCACTACAACAACCTGCAGAGGACCATCATCTACTGCATCTCTCTGGGGGGAGACACAGACACCATTGCCACCATGGCAGGAGCCATCGCGGGGGCTTATTACGGGGAGGAGCAGATACCCCCGAGCTGGGAGCAGAGCTGCGAGGCGTTCCAGGAGACGCAGAAGCTGGCAAGCAGCTTGTACGAGCTCTACTGCCAGCGGCTCTGACTGGAGGGAGCGGGCGGTCCCCTCCGCCTCCCCGGTCCACGTGGGGGTCGATCCGCGCCGTTCACAGGCACCAGTGAGCCCCGGAGATGCTCGTGGCTGTGGGCTGGGAGCGGGGGGCGTGAGCTGGTTTGGCACAGAGGGGCCGTGCTTTTTGGTGATGGCTCAGCTGGGAAGTGGCTGCGTGTGGCGCCGTGGACGGCGGGTGCGTCTTGGAAGGGTACGGGAGCATCTGGTTTTCCGTGAGATTTCTGCTGCTTGCTTTGTCCCACCCTCGTGCCATTCTGTCATTGCCGTTTCTAGGCGGGTGTCTGACTTTCTTGCCGTTTGCCTCCACTCCTGTGCCGTGGTCTTTGTTTCAGTTGTCACTGACCTGTCCTGCAGTGGCTGTGATGGGCTCCACACCCCCTCAGAACACCAGTTCACACCGAGCCCACCAGTTCAGGGCTGTAGATGGGAGCGATCGGGGAGCACACGCCTGGAGGATGCCCTTCGTGGTGGCACAGGAACCCCGTGTTGTGGGGTGGGGATGCAGGAGGGTTCACCTCCCAGCTCTGCCTTCCTTAAAGGCAGGGGACTGGAGAAGGGATTTGTCTGCATCCAGTGCCAGGGTGGCTTTTGGTGCAGGCACTCAGGGTCCTGGTTGGCTCAGTGCTGCTGGAAGAGGGAATAACCAGTTACTGCTGGGGTGTCCTTTGCTTTGCCATCGTCCAGGTCCACCTGCCTGTGTCTGCATTTTGTGTTCCCCTCCGTCGCTGGCTTTCTCACTGCAGCTCCTCCAGTGTTTCCTGCTCCCAGTCCTGGCACCCTGCGGTTTCAATCCTGCCCCGTTTGTCCTGAGCAGCCAGCGAGGCCGCTGGTTCAATTTGTGGGTAGAGGTGGTTGTGAAACCCGGTGTTGCACAAGGCTGGGATTCCTGGTTCGGCTGCAGTCGGTGACAAAAATCACTTCGGCAGGAAGCAGAGGTTGCTGCTCGTGGTTGTAAAACTCTGTGCTTGATAGAAATCACCCAAACATGAAGGGAAAGGCAGGATAATTGGGGAGGAGTTTATCAGAGTTTAACAGGACTTGTGCGTTTGAAGCTGGTGCTGGTGGCCAAGGACATCTCGGCAAAGCGGTGCTGTTCCAGTCACATTTAAACCTCAGCCACGGGAGCTGACCGAAAAGGGAGTAACAGCTTGGGTTTGGTGTCTAAAAAGTATTAAAAGCTTGTTAATAATTGAAAACAAAAAGAAAGAGGCAAGCAGGTGGTGGGTCAGGGGTGTACCAGGCTGTGCTCACCTGGAAAATTCCAGCGTTTCCTGCCCTCTGCTTCCTTCCAGTGCCACCTTCTCTGTGATGCTTTAAGGGGTTTTCCTTGTATAAATGGGTTCCTGTCCCGAGAACACGTGCAGTTTTGGTCTGGTGTGTATTTATGTGTCGTGCTGCAGGTCTGAGATGTACAATGTCAGGTTTTTCACGTTGTTCTGCCAGAGGTGTGAACGTATTCACAGAGTTATTTAAAATAAGATCTTTTCCTTTTAAAGCAGCTTTTTAATTGTAAATGTTTGGACCTCGTGAAGAGCAGGAGAGCTCCTGTTTAAAAAAATACAGCTCGTTTTAGGCCAGAATTGAAAAGTGTACCCAAACACTTAGCTCTGACTTTCTCGGAAAGAAATAAAATCACTTCGTAATCTTTGTTAATGAGCCCCTGGTCTTGTCTCGTCCTTCAAGTCACGGAGTTGTGCTTCTGTACTAAATGACAAGAGGAGTCGTATGAAAACCTCTGGGCTGCTTCTCCCCACCCCATCCTTCACTTGAGGGCTCGACCTGAAACTACTTTGTTACGGCTTCTTGAAACCTGTCTGTGGAAAGCAGAACGGTGGTGGCTGGTGCTGGTGAGACCCGTCCTGCGTGCTTCATGTGGGTGAGTTTTAGTGCTGGAAATCCACTGTAAAATCTCCTTCCAGGCCGTGGCTCCTGCGCGGGAGCAGCGCAGGGCACTGAGGTTTGCGGGCACCCAGCAGCAGCGGCTCCTGTTGACAGCGGGGAGAGGGGGCTGCATCGATCACGCTGCAGGGAGGTTTCTGAGGAGGCCCTGGTCCTCCCTGGTCCTTCTGGATCCTCCCTGGTCCTTCTGGATCCTCCCTGGTCCTTCTTGATCCTCCCTGGTCCTCCCTGGTCCTTCTTGATCCTCCCTGGTCCTTCTCTTCCCTCGCAGGCTGTGACTGCAGCAAGGAGCCGTGCATGGATGGGGCTCAGCTGCTGGAGCCCACGACTCTCAGCAGCAGAAGCGCTTGTTCCTCACGCTCAGCTTTTGGAGGAGTCTCCTGGGCAGCAGCCGGGCTTCTCTGGATGGGTTTCACCTCTCACGAGCAGCATCTCCCCTTCAGGCCGGAGATCAGGTGGGAAAATGTGTTCTCTTCTCCTTATTCTTTTTACTTTCAGTGATCTGCTTCCAGGTGATTCACCATTGCTTCTGTGTGCTGCTGAGCTGCTTTTGCTGCTCGGGATGCAGGGGTTGGCTGTAGAGTAGGTCATGTAATGTAGCAAATATATATGGATATGTGTGTATATATATATATATGTGTGTGTGTGTGTGTGTGTGTATATATATATCTATCTTAATTAGAAAAATAAAAACCATAGAAGAGAAGGGCAATCCCCAACCCTTTGTCTTAAGTCCCTCCAGTCAATAATTGCCTGTCTGGAAGGATCCAGATTTCATCCTTGTTTAAAAATGAACTCCCGGATACCGGAATCTTCCACAATCACAACAGCCTTGCAGTGTCGCCTACATAAGAGCATTAATTACGGACACACGTGGGCTGGAGCTGAGGGGAACCAGAGTGAGAGCTCTGCAGGAGTGGTGTACGAGGCTGAGCAATCCCACTGATACCAGGACAAAGGCACAGCTTTTGTACAATAAGTTTTATTGATGTTTTGTCAATACAATCAAGTACTGCAGTTTTAGTTCTGAAGAGAAGGCCAGTTTCTGATCACAAAAAGAGTGCATTTTAAACCAACTTTTACTATGACAGACAGTGCACGTAGTAAGTATTTACAAAACTAAAAAACCTCTATATACTAGGTTAGGAATGAAGATACTAGAGGCGAATTTAAAAAAAATAGTAAGAATTTGTATATAAAAATGCACATTGTAATGCAGTTTTCATCATTAAAAATAGACATACTTCATCCAACCCAACCTTTCTCATTATTGTGACTGAAAACCAAAATCCCACGCGCTCACACACACGACAGAACATCATCCTTTCTGCTGGCGAACATCACGTACTCAGCACTCCAGAGGAAAACAACTCTTCCTGACAGTGTCCAGTTTGGTGCACAGCCTCCCTCAGCATCCTTGGTTTCTAGCCTAGCTCTATGTGCGTGTAACACCTTTGCCTTTCCGCCGCTGTGTGAATGCCAGGTTATGGAGCTGCAGAAAGGCGCCTACGGTGCACGCTCTGCGAGTGGAATTGCGAAACGAGCGAGTCCGTGGCCATAGCGAGCGCTTTTGGCGTTGCCTTTTTGCCAGCCAGAAGGAGAAGTTTTGGCTAAAATATAAAGCAAAACAAGCGCTGCGGCGTGGGTTGGCACGCGGTATAAATAAGTCGCTGTGAGGACGGGGACGAAGCCCCTCGCTGCAGCCTGTGCCTCGCCCCAGGGCTGCGGTGGGAGCCGGGGCCTCGCGTGGCCTCCAGCTCCGTCGCTCTGATCTGCCCAGGGAAGGCGCTTCCCTAAACACAGCCCCATCCCAGCACCCTCCTCCCGAGCCTGGGAGAAAACCTCTGAGCTTTTCATTTTAGGGTCTCTGTACGGCTCCTGTTCTGCTGGGAAATAACCCACTGCCATCGAAACCCGGTGGCCCTGACACCCCCTGCTCCGCAGTTAAAAACACAGAGGGGTCAGACGCTGGGGCAGCCTTTCAGCTCGAGAAGTCTCCATCTCGATATGAAACCCAACTTTATGTGGAGAACCCTTGGGGGGCACAGGCCAGCACCACTGTGCACTTCCTCCTGGTGTTCCTTACTTGCAGGGATAGGTGTGTTTTTAAAAGCAAGCCCTGGATGGCAAGAGCCAGACACACAGGACAGGGCTAAGGAGGAAAACAAGCGAAATAGAAAAAGAAAAGGTGTGGAAAGTCCATCTGAGGAACCATCCCAGTCCCAATTTGCTACGTTTCTGTGGCCATAGAGCAGCCTTTAGGTGAATCTAAGGGTAATAATTGTAACTCTTGCTCAGCTGCTGACAGAGCTGTTCTGTTTTCTCAGGGACGCGCCTTTGCAGAGAGAGGGGCACGCGGGGCAGCGCACGTGGATGGTCCCGCAGCGTGCTGCTCGCCTGGGGTGAGAGGAGCAGAGCGGCAGTGGCTGTTGATTCTACCGTGAGAAAATCTGCGGAGCAACGGGGCTCAGTCGCTCCCTCTCGCAAAGACAGAGCAGCCAAGTGGTCCGTACCCACGCAGAGCCCTGTAGCTCGTGCTCAGGTCGGTCACGTTTCAAGCTTTACTGAGACAAAGTGGGAACGACAGACAGATGGGATTTGGTTTTTTTTCATTTTTTTTTTTCTTATTTTTTTTTTTAACCTAAGTCACAGACGGGCACCCGCGGTGGTGCGCTGTTACAGGTACATATTGCACTAGACTTGTAAATAACATCGTTAAGTAGATAATAGCACCGTTGTAAAATGACTGAATGGAAATAGTTAGAACGAACGCTAATTTTTTTTTTTTTTTTTTTTTCTTAATTAAAGGGTCCCCTGAGAAAGGAGGGAAACCAATGCAGAAGTTTACACATCCCGAAATAGTGAGACAGCAAAAGCAAGTTGTCCGTAAGTGGCACTTCCAAGCAAGCACAACTGAACCTCCTGTCAAACCAGGCCAGAAGCTCCGTGCGCCGGGCTGGCAGTGCCGTCCTTGCCTTCTCAGGGAATACGATGCTGGCGGGGCCGAGGCTTTGGGCTGCGAAGGGACAGACAGGACAGAGCGAGCCCTTGGACTTGCCGGGGGATGAATCATC